CACACACACACACACACACACACACACACACACACACACACACACACACACACACACAGAAAAGGTTTTATTAAACTCATAAATCACAATGACGACAGACGCTCAAAGAGGAGACTGTCTGAGCGGGAAGGTTAGTAAAACCAAAATTCAGGGTAACAAAACACCTCTGTGATGTTCGAAACCAAAAAAAATTGAGCTTTGGCAAGATATTCAGAGAAACCACGTGCTGGAAACTCAGCTGTGATTCCTCACTTTATTTTATTTTTTTCTGAGACCAAATTTAAAAAAAGATTCAAATTATTACAAAACAATGATTTAAATTATTCGAGCTACACTTCTGTTCGCGGTTTTAAAATTTTAGCATCTAAAATCCTGAAAAACAAGATATTTTTCTTACAACATATTGTCGTTTCAGACAATGTCTTAAAATTTTCATATAGGATACACATAATATTTTAAATAAATGTACAATTTGTAAACGACAGATTAAAATAAAATAAAGGAAACAAATATGTTCAGTTCAGTAACAGGATGTAAAGGACATTGCGATTTAATAAAATTTATATTTTATCGATGTTGAAAGTACCTCTAAATATTACCACATATTGTAGCTTGAACACACAAAGTAGAACATGTCAGGAAGTTTAAATAAACAGATATGTATTTCTTTTACTTCACGAGCGTCTGCATTAAAATGTAATCAGAGCCAGAGAGGAGTTAAGAGCTTACAGATAAAACAAGCAGACAAATAAGTATATACTAAAATATACATTAAACGTTATATCTTCATCTAGAATAAACATGTTACTGTAGTTTTAATAGTGCAAAAACAAATGAATTTAGGTCCAATATGATTACATCAATATAGGCCTTATGTGAACGTCTGAATAAACACACCTATGCATCCGGATTAGGATTTTGTCTTGTTTATGTACTGCCTGTTCTGTTGGTCTATCAGTTTGCACAAGCAGAGATAAATCTTTACAGAAATCATAAGCAGTAAAGATGCTACACATAATTCTAAAATATAAATCAGAATTTGTTAAGTTAAGGGGGAAAAAAGTATGTTAATCACATTAGTTATTTAAAGAGTGCACAGCTGGATCCTATCCAGAGTGGTGTGTTTCTTTCACACTTGTTTCATTGTCGTATGTGGAATAGATCATTTCGTAGTTAAAAACTGACAAATGTTCATGCCGTAACGGGCTGAACTCCCATGTTTTTTGGGAAAATGCTGAGGTTTCTACGGAAAAAAAATCACTGGAATTGAACAAATTCAATCAACAAATTTCGTGTTAAACTTTCCTTTGGGATCATAAATTAGATTTTTCATAAATATCTAAACAATTTAAGTTTTGAGGTTGTTGATTTTGCACAATTCCAATGGCGTTCTCTCAGTTGACCTGCGACCCCGAAAAGTTAGTCTCTGCTAGTACTCATAACTGCATAATGGTCTGTTGGAAGTTACTCTGGTTTATGATCAAACCTAAAGTGGCCAGCTGTAAATCCATAGTGAAACAATTGCAGCTAATGTCCAAGTGGACAGGTCCATTATGTGGCCACACAGTGATCCCCATCTTCACAATCTTTTGGTCACAACACTTATCAATCGAAACACAGCAACAGTTAAATAAGGCACTGCAACAGCCATCCAACACAGTTCATTACACATCAAACTCTGTTTTAAGGGGAATAAAGTGAAGTAGTGTTTGTGTACATTCTATGTTAGGTGAAAGTGACAAAACAAGAAATATTTAGTGTTATCTTGCACAGGCACCACCGGGGGTAAGTCGCTAAAGCTAAACAAGAACTGAATCTGTTATTCTTTTCGACTTTTATCAAAAACATGAGGCCTAACAAGCATAGCAAACATAAAAAATTTAAAATATTTTAAAAAAATAACATTTGTGATCACTGTTGGTGTAAATGTTATTTTTAAGCATCATGCCACAAATGATCTGTTCACAAATATAATTACATTTTAAAAATGTTAACACCTTGAGCTACTATGTTGGAACACACGACAGTGATGGGTTTTGATGCCTCTTTTGAGGCTCAAAGAGGCTTTAAAGTGTATTTAGTATAAGATTATTGACAAGCCAACTGATCATAATCGGGATCCTGGAGTGTTTTTGCAGACCAATAACCATTCCAACAAAAACCATCAAACCAGAGTCCAAGTTTCTGTTGTACCTCTTAACTCCACAACTGCATAGCACTATCCTGCTACAACATCAACCAACTAACTGCCAAAGCCACATTGCATTCCTGACCTGCAAAAGCTAATTAACAGCTGGCTGTCAGTCTTTTTTTTAACAGTGCAGAAACAACTCACTCATGTGGCTATTCTAATAAAGTATTCTGGGATTCAAGTAGCTGCCGACATTCTGGCTAAGGTAAACGTGTTTAAGGTAAGTTAACATGAGTTTCTGCTGCACAACAAAAGAACTGTGGAGGTAGGACTAAAAAGGTCTGTCAGGTGATCATCTGATTGGTGGGAAAACTTTATAAATCAAACACTTTGTTTAAAATGTTGAAATTTTAAATGCAGGTTGCGTTNGCGTTGACAGAGAGGAGAAGGTAGAAATGACTCAGCCTGGAACTGAAAATATGGATGGAGGACAACAGAGCTGCTTCATGGAAGAACAACCTCAGCTTAGCCTGTTAGCTTTAGCGTTAGCCCCGACGCTATCACCATATATATGTATTAGCTCAGCGCTACACATTCTCCTTGTCACTGAGGTCCTCCACCCACATGACAGAGAGGGGAACGCAAAAATGGCTCAGCTGCAACTGAAAATATGTATGGAGGACCTCAGTTTAGCTTGTTTGTTGCATTAGCACCGAGCTAATACATACAGTATAAGGCAATATAGCATCAGCGCCAGTGCAAAAGTTAACAGGCTAAGCTGAGGTTCTTCTTCCATGAAGCAGCTCTGTTGTCCTCCATCCATATTTTCAGTTCCAGGCTGTCATTTCTACCTTCTCCTCTCTGTCAACGCTCTCTGGTTTCATTTAAAAGAGTCAATCATCAGATATTGTCCAAGATTAACCTTCAGGGTGGACATAGCTCGCTCACACCGAGGACCTATCCACGTCATCYTTTACCCAGAATGCTTTGTGTGTAAATAAAATGGCTCAGTCCATGTAATATATTTTTAAAATTTATAAAACTAAACAGTTTACAGTTAGACTGTATTTTTACAGTCTTTATTTTACAGTTAAAATAAATGTTTATCAAATAAAGTCTAATGTTACAACTAATCAGGGATCCCTTTAAGCCAAAATGACTTGCAGTTTTATTATTTATCATGTCATCATTACAGCTACAGAAACTGCAGCCCCTAAAACACCGAATGTTTCCTCACCTGTAGCTGTTGAAGGATTCAGTTCGTCGAGCGCGGGCCAGCAGGGGGCTCTCTCTGTAGGGCCGCACCGCTCCGTAAGTGGCCTGGCTCTCAGGAACGGGCTCCTGGCTCTGCAGCTGCAGACTGAGGTCGAGATGTTTCACGATCAGCAACGCTGTCTGACATTTTAATATCACAATCTGATAAATACGTGCTGCTTGGCGTGATTTCTACCTCGAGCAAGACTCTCTGAGGCGTGCGTGGTGCAGCACGGAGGGGGCGGGGCTAATGCTGGGCGTGGCACAGCGAGAAGCACTCAGGTCGCACTGGTCCAGCAGCTGCAGCAGCTCCTCCTCTGTTGGCCCACCTACTTCTGTCAAACCCAAGAAACAAAAAGTATGTCCCACATTAATTAGGATTTACACAATGGGTAGTAAAATTTTCTTCCACTTCTCTTTCTGCACCTTCTTTTCTCCTCTCTTCTCCTTTGTTGGCCGTGTCCATCGCAGTGGTGAGGTCCCACATCTGTATGCTGCCGTTGCCATGACCGGTGAACAAGTAACGCCGGGGCCGAGATCCCATTCGACTGGAACCCTCACACTCCCGAACCATGAAGCAAGTGATCGTAGTTCCGTCTACTGACTGCACCTCGCAGATTCTGAAATACACACAAAAGTAAAACCAATGCTTGCAACTACAATCCTGCCGAGCTGAGAGGCGTATGTGGGGGATGCTGTACCTTTTTCCAGTTGAAGAGAGTCTCACAAACAGTTTGTTAGTGATGGGAATGACCTTCTGGATGAACACCTGTTGATCGTCTCTTTCTCCAAACGGCCCTAACAGCAGAAGCCCACAAGTGTTTCTCATTTCCAACATTCCTTCATTTAAATCTGTAATTTCATGCTTCCCTTCTTGTTAATCTCACCTATATCGTTTCCAGAGCAGTAGCTTCCGTGGCTCTCTGTCTCCTCTAAGGACAGTATCTTGAAGGAAGCCAGTGGGGTGGAGCCTGGCTGTGTGGAGATCATCCCTCTGAACCGCGTCACCGTCCACGTCCGAACATGGTTGTTGTCTGCGCACACTACCATCCAAAGACAAACAGCGAAGTAATTCATAAAACATCATTTTAAATAAATCAAGAAGAATAGATGATTATTAGTGTCGGCGGGTGTGATCAGCAGGGGTGAAAGTAAGCCGGTACGGTCCGGTACTGCGTACCACTAAAAGATTCTGCACCGGTACGCAGTACCAGGAAGAGGGGGGAGTGGCTGTCAACTATAAAGCGACCATTCAGAAACAGATCATTGCTGCACTTTCTGTCAGAATAAACTTAGCAATAGGCAGTATAAAACACAATTAATCTGTTTATTAATAGTTTTTTTCTCATCCCAAATTGTTTCTGGACTGTCCCTGTCAGCTCCTCGTCCCTCGTAGCTTGAGGCTTTCATGAACCACCAGGCGTGGCCGATTCATAATGGCAAAATTAATTCGCCTCACAAAATAGTTCCTCCTAATGAGCTCAGTTTGTAATTTGTTGTTTTGTTGTGTTTTTCCAACAACTTTTACTTTTCGTGAGTCAAATGCTAGACAGTGTGTGTGCGACTCACACTGTGCGCGTTGGGCCTGTTGTGCGACAGATGCGCTTTTTTCAGCACTATGCGTATTGCGCTCATGTTTGTGTGAGGTGCGCTGAGTTTTTCTCCAACGACATCCTGCAGGCACCGCATCATCAGGCTGTAACCAACATGACAGCACGTTCTATTGAATGTTTATTCATTATTTAGAAAAGAAAGTGATGGGTAAAAATTGATCATGACAGATTTTTATTCAACCCTGTCAGTCAAAATGACGAACAACAAAAAAAAAGTCAAGCACAACCTCTGTTCGCTCCACTAATATTTGTGCTCACGAGCTGCTATTGTAAATGGCCGGCCGTCAAAACTTGCACTACTTTCTTCCTACCGAGGATTTCGCCGGTTCGCCAACATGTTCTTTACTGCACAGCAGTCAGCTGATCTGCTCGCACGGTCGCGGGTGGACAGGGTGACGGGAAAAAAAATCATCTCTGTGGCGCTTTGATCACAAATCAGATACAAATCTTGACTCTACTAGAACCATACAAAGTAAATGTCTGTTTGTCTCTGGCATCTAACAGAGAAATGTCAATCAACAGGGGCGCTGCGAGTGGGGGTGGCCAGGAGGGGCAATGCCCCCACCCCTAGAAAAATGGTGGCCCTGCCACTTTTATCCTCTTGGGTTCCAAGTGTTTGTTCTATGCTTATTTTAATTTTGGAGGGTGTTAAAAATATAAATGTAAACTAAATATGAATATAATTTTTATGTAAGATAAAAAAAATTAAACTTACAAATCTAATCCCACTGAAAAATGATAATTGTCCTCAATATCAGGATGCAGGTTTTCAAGACATACATACATACATATATATATATATATATATATATATATATTATTGACCCTTTGCACATGATGTCACGCACTTCAGAAGACCGCCCACTTCACCGTGACGGACGTCAAAAACAATCTGTGTGCGAGTAAACTCCTGCACAGCTAGAAAAACATATTTGTTGGACAGTGGATCCTCACGATAAACTAAAACAAATCCACACACGCACTTACTCATGCACACACAATCATCCAAGCAAACAGTCCATATTAGTCACAATCCAGCCGTGAGGCTGAGAAGAGGACTGTCAATCGACCGCGGGGCAAGCCAGAACACGGGGTGGAGATAACCTCACCTGCAGCGGAGAGGAGCAGGGAGGACGGGAAGGAGATGACAACTTATTCCTAGTGGCAGAGTGGCTTGGGAGATGGTTATTTAATTTGTTTTATTTTTTTACACGTCCTACAGCCTCTAAGATGTCAAATAAAATTGAAGATGTGTGTTTGTAAAAACACTTGCCAGTGTCTCGACTGGCCTGGAACACCTTAGAATCCCCCCAGAAGAGCTGAGGAGGCTGGGGAAAGAGAGGACTGGGCTTCCTTGCTCAAGCTGCTGCAACCCAACTCTGGATAAAGCGGAACATAACAGAAGGCTGGACGTTTGAAAAAATCTGCCAGAATACGTCTATATACCCGCAAAATGAGAGAAAATCTGCAGCTATCATTTACTGACAATCCGTTCTTGACATGTGTGGAGGGTTGATGTCTGAATAAACAATCCTGAACTTTAACAGCTAAATATTTATTTTATATTCTGAATGAGTTGTCATCAGTTTTTTTAACTCGCTTCACGTTGCTATGATTTTCTATGGGTTTGTGCTGTCAGGAAGACTACAACAGTTTCTGAGCTAACAATGAGGTCTCGCTTGCAGCCCTACATAACAAGTTGTACGGACTGTCCATGAACATGGACACCCCCCCCCCCCATTTTGCAGATGGACGTACCCCCGTTTTTTAAAGCTCTGCTTCAAATTTATTTTATGTGACAGTGCCAAACAATTTAAATAAATAAATACAATTAGCCTGTTCAATCGGATCACTGAGGATCAAAAATGTCCGAAGGGGTTGACATGTATGTGACAGAACATTCCATCTATTTTACTGGTTAGCTATGGTAACTTTTGTAAATACAGCTGTTTATGAGCCCAACTAGGTGTGCTACTTCCACATGTTAGCTCGACTTCAACAAGTAGGCTAGAAGCCACGGCAAAACCCAAAAAACTACTTAAAAAAACAATGACAGTCATTCTGTTCAATACAGCTCCCTCACTTCTGACGTCCGTCATGGCGCCCCCATGTGACGCAGTGACGTAGGTGCAAAGGGTCAAATCATACTAATCTAAAGGTTTTTTTACTAGGTTGTAAAACAAGGTGCATCTGCTGATTCCAGCTTGTAGTTTGATTAGTCCTGATTTCTTCATGTATTTTTCTTCATCTCTGACCTAACAGCACAGTAAACTGAGATCTTGAGAAGCTCCAGTTACAACCCAGCAGGCAGGATCAAACATTTGGAGATGCTAATAAAAAACATATTCGTACTCAAACTGAGATGTCGTACTGATTCGTTATCTCGTAGCTGCTTCATGTTGGTCTCACGACAACCGGATATCCCAGACAACATTTAAACGGTGGTGGAGGCGGTGACTTTGCAGCTGATTTTGTGTTTCTCCCCCAGCTCCTGCATGCACCTGCAAAAGATGTCTCGACAAGATAAATCCACAGACTGGAGTCAAAGCACGAGTCGCTCTCACAGGCTGCTGTCCTGACCGGAAGGATCCGGCGCCAGCTTCCTGTTTCGTGGTGAGGTGGAGGCAGCCACTTTGGTTGGGGAGGGCGAGGCGTTTGAAGATGAGTCGCTGCCCCCGCCTTCAGATCCAGAGGGAAGGGAGGAGAGATGTGGAACGGGCGGAGCCTTCTTTCGCCCCAGAAACCCCCCTTCTAGTACTCCCCTCTTCCTCACGCCTCCTTCAGCCTTCGCCCCGTCTCCTCCTGACGCAACACTGTCTCCTTCCTCTGACTGAGAGTGCACCTTTCGCCTGATGTCCCCCACTGGGACTGGGCTGCCCGGAGGCTGCAGCATCGATTCTTGACTCACTTCTGCTTTTGTCAGCAAGACGCATCCAGCAGCGACGTTAGAGCTCACGCTGGTGGTACGGGGAGCCCAGAGCTCCATGACAGAGCTTCTCCTCTCCCCGTCCTCAGGCCCAAAGTCACAAAGTGAACGGCGAGCGTCGGGTGTCTGGTGGGGTCCGCAGTTGGATGTCTGACCTGTATTGTCCAGGGCACCCCGGCTCAGGCTGAAGTTCTGGAAATCTCTATGGAATTAAATGCTGGAGTCAGTCGCAGGGCAAAGACAAAATACTTTCTGGGCTAAGGGAGGCAATCAAAACATCTATATGAAGCTCACCAGCTGCCTTCTTTCTCTGTCCACAACTGACAAACTCTTTACTGACCAAAAACACTAAATACTGTATCAGTAATGTCAGAAGATTATAAGATGACAGAAATGTTCTTGCACTTTATTAGACAAAGAAACTTTGTCTCATTTTGTTTGTATTCATCAATTACCTACATTAAAGGGATCCCCGATTAGTTGTAACATTAGACTTTATTTGATAAACATATACTTTAACTGTAAAATAAAGACTGTAAAAATACTGTAGGCTGTTCAGTTATGTAAATTTTTTAACTAAAAGTTTAAAAATATATTACATGGACTGAGCCATTTTACTTGCACGCAAAGCATTCTGGGTAAATGATGACATGGATATGTCATCGGTGCGAGGC